TAAGAACTAAATTAAGTAAGCTTAAAAGAGATTAATATTTATGGGACTTAATAATACTTAAATTAAGTTAATTAAATATTTGATTAAACTAATTATGGATTTAACTCATTAAAGATTAATTTTAAAGCTAAGTTACACTATAATCAATGTCTAAAACTAGACTAAACCTAACCTTAATTAAGAAATTTAATTGTGTGAGTGTGTTGCCTTGGGTATAAATAGATAATGAAGCCCTTCCACCCTCATTTCTAGTGCATCCATCAGCCCTAAGAGAGAGAAGCTCTCACTTCCTCTCATCTCTCCCAAAATCCTTAACCTTTTCTCTAAAACCTAGATCACTTAAAGATCTTTTTTCTTATTATAGTTCAAGTATGCTGATGAGGAGCTTGTGGGCTTCAAGAAGACATTATTTTTGTAGCATTTGGAGAACTTTGATCCTTACTCTAAAAGGTATAAAAGAGTTTTCTTTTATCTCTTGTATGTCTTGAGTGGTTGAGAAATTATTCTCAATATATTGTTATTGTAATTTAAATTTGTAGAAATTTTCATGGCTTCTTCTTGGTGAAGTGAGACCATATTCATGTGCAATCATGCCTCTAGAATCATTAAAAAAAGGTTTTGGAATTTTTTTGAGCATGTTTACTTATTTTAATGGGTGATTTATTTGTTTTGTCGACCCTGGTGCTATTTTTATTCTATTAAATATGATACTAGGAGAAAATGGTGTAATAGAAATCTTCTGCATATCACTTTTTATGTCTTAAAATTTTTGTAAAAATTTATAAGCCCTAAAAGTATTTAATTTTGATTTTCTATTGGAATTTCATAAATATCTTGTTAAGTTTTTATTTATGAAATATAATTCATGCATGAAATAAATACCGGAAAAAATATATGACTCATGAAGACATATTAGAAATACCATGGAATTTTCTTAAATTATTATAATTTGATATAATTTATGAATTTATGATGTAAGCTTTATTTTCTACCAACGATGATAAATAATTGTAAAAATAGTATTTTTAGTTCATCATAAATAATGAGAAAAATCATGTGTACACAATGATGTTGGATAAGACCTTTGTTAAATATCTCAAAAAAAAATATCAATTCCTATTTTACAAAAATAGTCCACTAGAGATATTTAATTCAAAAATAATACTTAAGAGTTGAATTTTGGTTATCTCAAAAATAGTCCTCTAGACAATTTGTTTAAGTATCCTTGAAAAGTTTTATATGTTTTAAAGTTGATTTAGTGTGTCTAATAATTTTTATGCATATAAATCTGTATGTGTAAAATTATGAAATTTAATTGGCTTAATTACCTTCGGAACATTATTTGATTATTTGGAGCACATGATTGATTTATTATAACCTAGAGGAAGACCTATAGATGTTATTATGATTTGTTCAATTTTCATGATTTAATTCCATTTAATTAGCAAGTTTGAACCTTGATTTGTTATTGATTGAATTAGAGACTAGGAGGAATGTGATCCTTAGACAATTTGTGTGTTGGGAACTTGAAAGTGTGTTAATGAGTGACATAAATAATTTGTGTTTAGGACTCCATAAAATACTTATATGTTAGCATTAAAACTAATGGAACTATGATATAAAACTTATGAATTTATAGAAATTTAATGAAAGAAAATTGTAAGTAGTTAAAGTTGTGAGGGTGAGGACTTCATAAAAAGTAATACGAAATTCTAAGTTAAATGGTTGGAAGGGTGCTTCATGATGGAGACTTGCAATGAATTGTTGATATGCATTAGTATAAATATTTGATTGATTGTCATGAATGATTATGCATTATCGTGGATGTGATGTTAAGAGAAAAGAATAGAAAATTTCATTCACCTTTATTCAAAAAGTACAATGGACAATGTAGTTTGTTCGTACTGCACTTGACGTGTTATTATGGAAAAGAAAGAAGCGACTATGCAAGCATATTCATGTACAAACCCCAATGGGAGAGATAAGAATTATGGGTGGGGCTAAGAGGCATGTATGTTATAGTCACATATTGAAGTTATATAATTTGATTTATTGATTTTGGGAGACGAAGTTGTGGGTTTTTACTCGTGTTTGCATGACCTCTAGTTGTGCGTATGTACCTTTGGAGAATACAATTTTGTGCGGGTTTTGAAAGAATATCATGTGTGACGATGTCCTTGAAAGAAGGATGTGGATGACCATAGAAGGTACCCGAGGTATGCTCGATCGATGGCTTCGAGTCCTTGGGAATAGTAAGGCACCAGGTTGTGGAGGCTCAACATAGTTGGAGAATTCACGTATGTCGACTTAGCAAATCCCAACAAATGTGAGACATATCATGATTGGTGAGAGTGTCTACACCAAGTACAAGGGTAGAATATGTGCTCCCTAACATCATCCATAAAGAAACTTATAAGACCACTAGGTTTCAGTGGTGTGGTGAGCCCAATTGACGAGGTTTCTGCTATATACATTAGGATGTGCACTAGTACTTTTAAGTGACAATGCTAAAAAACCATAATGTGGTGTTATACAAGATTGTTGTGAAACTTTCAAGTTCTTTTTATGTGTAACATTGTCATGAATAGAATAAACTCGCTCAATAAATTTATTTTTCAGAGGGTGATGAATTGTAATCGACTAACTTTTTAAGGTATTTAACAGTTTGACGATGATACAAGCTGGAGGGCTATTATTGATGAAGAAATTAATAAAGACCCTTCAAAGAGATCAACTTAGGTGTTTAGAGATTGAGATATAACATTATTGGGTATATTGTACGAAGGTGACTACTTTCAACCTTGAGTTCTTTATTATTTATTTATTTGATATGGTTGTATAGGACCTCAATATTTTACATTTATTAGTCATTGTTGTATTCTGTGGAATACTTATGTTCTTTATGTTAGTTTGTATATATGTAATGATAAGATTTGATGGTCTTTATTCAACCGCATGTTGTATTTTATGACTTCAATGTATTTATTGTTATTGATGTATGAGACATTTTATACTTGTTATTATTGAGCAATGTATAACTTGTAAATTGATTAATAATAATTTTTAATTAATGTAAATTAATCCCATTATAAGTAAGAATATAAGATGCATATAAAATAAAAGAGAGAATTATTTGTATGCAAACAAAAATAAATGAAGAAGGTTCTAATTAAATATAAGGCTTTCAAGTTTTATGAAAAAAAAGTCTTTTTACAAATTTCTTAATTAAATATAAATTGAATTTATTGATGATGTGTAATGAAAGTATATATGTACATTGTCACAAGTATCCATCATCAAAATCAATAACTAAATTTTGTCAAAAATTACGAGAGTATATAAAGTGAATATTCTCTTCCTAATTATGGGAGTATATATTCTCTTTGGTGTTATCATAATGTTGCCATTTTTTTTTTTATGTTGTCATAACATTAATTAACTTTGCTCTTGATAAAAGTTATTGTTACATATATATTTAATGATATCTCAAAATGTTTCGCTCGCCTTATTTAATTGCGAGACACAATTTTTGCAAGCCAATGTAGTAAAACTAAAGAAGAAACAATGAAACATGACAAGTTTTTAATTGCAATATATGTATTTAATTTTTTTTGGGTCTTTTGTATTCGGTATTGTTCCATTCATCCCAAATCCTTAATCATTTTAACCTTTTTTTTTCTTCCAAAAACAATTGATATTTTAGGATTTCACAGTTTAATTAATATTTTTTTCCTCAATTTTACCTGTACTTAATAAACATTTTTTTCCTTCAATTGTTCCCTTAATAATGTTTTTAAATATTGATATAAGTAAAAAAAATAACAAAAATAAATAAATTATGTGTATTATGAGTATAAGTAAAAAAAAAATCTCATATTTATTAATCTCAAATGAAAGTAAATTTCACTGTATTTAATATTTTCATCTCTAAAATACCATTTATTTATTTGAGATTGTATTTTTAATATCTCTTTTTATTCTTGATATCAAGTTTTAAAGAATGATAATTTAGAAAAAAAGTTATTTTTTTTGGAAGAGGTTGAAAATTAAATAATGTAAACAACCTTTCTTTTTTTGAAGCAATGTAAACAACCTTTCTTAATTAGCATGAATTGGTTTTTTTTTTCTTGTCACAGATTTAGAACCATGTGGAGTATTGTCTAAAAAAAAAGGGAGAAAAATGTTAATAACATACCCTCTAACATATTTTTTTTTAACAAATTCTCTCATTAGTTAAAATTTATTAAAAATCACAAAATCAAGAATGAGATTCATTAAATAAAATATAAGATCTACAAAATTTTGGAATTTTTAATAAAAATTATTATTTTTTTAAAAAATGTATTAAATAATATGTTGTTAACATTTCTCTTTAAAGAAGTTTAATATAATAAATTGAAGAAGTGAAATGTGTATCAATTACTCAAATGAAGTGAATTTGATGAAGAATGTCAATCGCGTATAAAATAATTGGTAAATATATTTTCACAATGAATTTCAAAGGAATTTAAAATTTTCTTTTACTTCTTAAATGATATAAAATAATAATTTTTTTTATACAATCAATTGAAAACGTTTCAACCTAATATTTTCTAAAGAAAAATAAAGTTAGACACATACATATCATAAAAATAATTCAATTAAGAAAATGTAATTTTATTAGAACAAATGATCAATTAGGATGTGTTTTTAATAGTAACAAACAAACATTTTTGAAGTATGAAAGATCAAATTTTTTAAAATTGGTAGGTAATTTTTTAAGAATAATGTTACATGTATAACTTTTTATTTATTTATTTATTAAATTTATATAATAACTTGTACATTATTTTTATGTCTATATTTTTTCACCACTTCATTTACTACAGAAAAAAATTTATTAATAATAAAAAGATACAAAGAAAAATAAAAATAACGTTGCTTACTTTTTTTATTGTACATACAACCTTCATGGATATTTTTAATGCGTTTAAGATTGTATAGTATAGTTAAACTGGTTTGTTTTGGATCCGCGTTGAAAGACTCTACTCGTAAAGTAAACAAACACTAAACAGAGTGAACAAACAAACGCACGCTCTGTATCAGAAGATCGCAACGCAACGCAACACTCTCTCTGCGCCGCCATGGACGATCCCCCCTTGCAGAAGATCGCGATTTCCGGCCCCACATTAGCCTCCCTCATGGAGCGCTTCTCCTCCGCCCCCTCCGCCGTCGACGGCCTCCTCTACGGCCACGTCACCCACCTCCCCCCAACCCTCTCCGACGACTCTTCCTCCTCCTCCTCCTCCTCCACCCCCACCCTCCTCGCCACCGTCACCGGCTTCCTCTCCTCCCCCTCCTTCCACGACTCCTCCGGCACGGTCCTCCCCGCCTCCCTCCGCCCCCACCAGCAGCACTCCTCCCTCCTCGGGTGGTTCTCCGGGCGGCGCCGCTCCCCCCTCCGCCCTTCCATGCGCGAGTTCTCCGTGACCTCCTCCCTCTCCTCTCTCTCCCAATTCTCCTCCCAAATCCAAAACCCACACTCCCCCAACCCACCCTCCCTCTTCCCCCCTTGCATCTTCCTCCTCCTCGCTTCCCCTCCCTCCGAGCACGTGCCCTCGCACGTGCACACTCACGAGTACCGCGCCTTCCAGTTCCGCCCCGCGGCCCAGCGCTTCGAGCCCAGGTCCCTCGACGTCGTCAACATTGGGCCCGCCTTCCGCGGCCACTACGGGGCCTTCAGCCCCAATTCGCGCCTCCCGCCGCTCGATTGCGCGCTCCGGGGCTCCCCGATGAGCGACGGCGGCGAGGACGAGCGGCTGGGGCGGGTGGAGGGGGCGGGGGAGG